CACTCATATGTGCTGCTCCTACCATATTCATTAAACTCCAATGGCTTCCTTTTACCACTGGGATCAAATATAAATTTTGTTTGGCATTTAAATCTCTTCACAATTTGGCCCTTTCCTATGTTTCCTGTCTCCTAATACATTACCCCTGTCTGAGAACATCATGATCTAATCACATTGACCTACTAACTGCTCTGTATCAACGATGATCTCCTTTCTCTGTGTCACCAGCTGTCCTTCATACCTGGAATGTACACCTTCCTTGTTTTTTGTTTTCTCTTTAAAACTTAGTTCAAACTACTACATGACGCTTTTTTTTTTCTTCTGGTCACCAAAGTTGCTAATGAACTGCCTCATAAAACTTTGTATTTATTTTTGTTGACCTAGAAGTTTGATTGAAAGAGGCAAACAAGCTAAGTGATACACATTTATATTGTTTATTCCCTTAAGCTAGCAGAATACATGTATTACATGGGTATTACATGTAATACATGGGAACTAGAAGATATTTCTGATTCAGAGATAAGCAAGTCGAGGAAAACCTTTTATATTCTTAGAGCAATTCCGACTTAGGATGTCCGTGTCACTTAAAATTATAGTCTCCATATGTGTTTAACCATAGCACGAGAAAGGAATTTTCTTAATTGAAAAGGTTGTACATATAATAAGAGAAGTATCAAAGTGTCAATTGAAATTACAGACCCAGGATATCCTTGTTTCCCCTACATAGCATATGTCCATAAAATACCAAGATAAGAAAAGTCCCACTATTCAAGACAGTGTCTGGTTTTGATGCAGTTTAGGGGTTCAGGGGTCCTGGGACCCCAAAATCACAAAATGCAGGTCTTGCCCAAAAGAATTTGACCCATGCCTTCTTTCAGCCATAGACAAGGTTTATTAGAACATCCATCATATTGGGCAGACTCTTAAGGAGTCTGAACATGGGTAAGCAGTGGCTAGATTTTAGGAATCAGAGAAGTGGCTGGATTATAAGAATCTAAGCATCTTAATGGAGACAAGATGGAGCTTATATACAGAAAGACTATGGGAAGGATCTAGGAGTGGCCAAGTAGTCCATGAGGTAATAGAATTCCAGGGACCTGGACCACATGGCCAAGGGAGAATGGAGAAGTGGCCTGGGGCCATACGGAGGTCCACAATGAAAGGCCAGTTGATGGGATTATAGCCTCAGGGGAATGCCAGATTTGGCCATGTGGGAGAGTCCAGGGTTTTTCCTTTCTGGGGCCCAGATTCCAACCCCATCAGTCCCAGGTTCCCTGTTCTTGGTGGTCATAAACAGAAGAATGCTCTTGGTCAGCCTCATCCAGCCCTGTAGTTGTAGACACAGGAAGGGGCATTTTGAGTTTACTCAGAGAGTAAAGCAAAACATGTCTGTTACGCCAGAGCGCACAAAGCATTATGATAGGTTAAGCTCAGAGTGGGCCAAAATGTCTCTCCTGATTGGCCAATCCAGGTTTTAGGCCTTTCTCAGGTCTTGGGGGTTCAAAGTGGTTTGGGGAGGTGTCTACATTCTGTAGAAGAGTCAGTGGGCATAGGGGAATACCCCTAAGTTAGTAATACCTCTAAGCCCTAACAATATTGGCTGTGTGATCTTGGGCAAATCTGTGCTCTCAGTGCTTAAGGCAAATCTCAAGATGTCTATCTGCAGTAGTAGAAGGAGTTTCCCCATTCTGGAGTTCTTTACATCAATAAAATCACAGGTCCGCTCCTTTTCCTGCCAGTCAGTCAACAAGCATTTATTAAGAGCCTACTACGTACCAGGTACTATGCTAAGTACTGAGGATGCAAAGAAAAGCAAAGGACAATCTCTGCTCTTAGGGAGCTCACTGTTTAACAGGGAAGACAATATTTCAATGCAGAGGGAATGCCCTAGAATTCAGGGAGATTGAGAATGTTTTCTTGTAAAAGGTGAAATTTGAACTGGGCTTTGTAGTAAGCCAGGAAAGCCAGAAAGAGAGATGAGGAAGGAGAGGAATTCCAGGTATGGAGGGACAACTTTTGAAAATGCCTAGAGTCCGGAAATGGGGTGTGTTGTTTGAGGAACACCAAGAGGCCAGGGTCCATGGATAGCACACAGGGGAGGAGTGGCATAAGGTATAAGAAGATTGGAAAGGTAGAAAAGGGGCCAGGTTATGAAGGGTTTTGAATAATATCTCTATCATTTTGGATATATTATTTATATATTTCTATATGTACCATTGTCTTTCCTGTTAGCTCATTGAAGGCTGGCATTTTTTTTTGTTTGTTTGTTTTGTTGGGTTTTTTTTGACAAGGACACTCTCAAGGCCTCCTGAAGAACTTTGGAATTGATTGAGATGTGGGAGCCACAGCCACAGGCCAGCCCAGCCTGGTGTGCCCGAATCAAAGAATGTGCTATGCTCTATGAGCAAAGAAGAATTGCAGTAGGTCAAAAGAAATATGAAATGCCTGAATTTAGAGATATCACTGATGGGGTTGGAATCTGGGCCTCAGAAAGGAAAAACTTTGGACTTTCCCACATGGCCAAATCTCTGGCCTTCCTGGGGCTAAACTCCCATCAACTGGCCTTTCATTGTGGCTATACCCAATCTCCCCTCCATTGTCTTGTCTCCCTTTCCATTTCCCTGGAATTCTATTACCTCATAGACTACTTGGGCACTCCGAGATCCCTCCCATAGTCTTTCTGTATATAAGGTCCATCTTGTCACCATTAAGATGCTCAGATTCTTATAATCAAGCCATTGATCAGATTCCTAAAATCTAGCCACTGCTTAGTTTCTTATAATCTAGCAACTGCTTACTCATGTTCAGACTCCTTAAGAGTCTCCCCAATATGACAATGTTCTAATAAACCTTGTCTTTGGCTGAAAGAAGGCTTGTGTCGAATTCTTTCAGGCAGGACCTACGTGTTGTGATATTGGGGTCCCAGCACCCCTGAACCTCTAAACTGCATCATCACCATTTCAAATGCTCATGTGGACTATTTGTGCTCGACCTATGGTAGAGACTTCTGCTCAGCCACAGTTGGACACACTGTATATTGACCCCAGACATTTTGGTTCTCTTCAAGTATGAAGGACAACAAGTACTTAACACAATGCTTTCCATATACAGTGGTAAATGCTTAATAAATGTTTGTTTCATAGATAGACCGACAGATAAAATACTTACTTAACCCATACTCTGTGTCAGATGCTGCTAGGATTACAAATATGAGTAAGCAAGGTCCCTATTCTCAAAAGCCTGGGGTAAGGCAATGCATAAAAAGGAGGGGAGGGAGGAGAGAGTGGTAGGGATTCTTGTTTGGGGTTGAAGAGGAGACTTGGGGAACTGGTGGGGAGTCCTGTGCCCTGAAGAGATAAGGCAAAAAGCTCACCTATCAAAGCCAGAGAAGGCAGCAGTAGAGTCTTTAGTTTGTAGCAGGAGGAGGGAGAAATAGGGTCACAGCAATAAGGGTGGGATAAGTCTCCAGAATGCTTGTTTGATCTGCATCTCAAAAGAAAAGCACATTCAGACTCTCTGTGAATTTTGGTAACAGGAATTAGGTCTGGGTGAAGGATCTGAATGGTGCTATGAAGGTTGCTGTGGGCTAATGGCAATAAAGGCATGGAGAGTCTGTGGCCCAGTGTTTTCTATCTCACGTCTAGCAGTCCTACCCTTTTCAGTCCTGCCACTTCCTGGACCGGTGGGGATGGGGGTGGAGCAGCATTGGGTATGAGAAGAAGACTGTGCTGGTAGTGTCTCCTCCCCAAGCTGTGGCTAGGGAAAAGGGAAATTGGAATCTGGGGATCTGGCTTTCCTTTTGAATTCCAGCTCTGCTACTTACTACTTTGCTTGACTTTGAACAAATCCTTCTCGACTTTTCTAGTTTTTCTATCTCTGGAAGGTAAGTTCCTTTGAGGCAGGTATGACTGAAATTCAATTTAAATCGAAAGAGTTCACATACTTATAAATGGTGTTCCACAAGATTCAAATGCTCATTAAGGGTTTACTATGTCTAAGGTCTGCTGCTAGGCACAGGTTGACAAAACAATAATAGTCTTTGCCCTCAGAGAGTACATTCTGCTAGAATGAGTAACAATAATAGCTCCCATAGCTGGCATTAAAGTTAGCACTTTAAGGTTTGCAAAGCTGTTTACAATGTTCTTTCACTTAGTTATATACTCAAGAATATCAAGAAGACAGATAAATGTGTACAAAGTGAGTGGGGGTAGCTAGGTGGCAGTGGATAGAGTGCCATTGTCTGAAGTCCGGAAGTCTCATCTTCCTGAGTTCAAGTGTGGCCTCAAACACTTTCGAACTGTGTGGCTTGGGCAAGTCACTTAACCCTGTTTGCCTCAGTTTCCTCTTCTGTAAAATGAGCTGGAGAAGGAAATGGCACTCCAGGATCTCTGCGAAGAAAATCCCAAACAGGCTCAGGAAGGGTCCAACAACGCTGAACAACAAAGTGCCTAATAAATGCTTTTCATTCGTTCCTAAGTGTTGTACAAATCACATTTACAGAGTAATTTCAAAAGGAAAAAAAGCACTAACAACTTGAGGGTGGGGTAGAGGTGTGATAGGAGATTGGAGATAGGAGATAGTAGACATCAGAGCTGTTCTTTGAAAGGCTGAAACACTTGGGATTCTAAAAGTAGTAAAAAAATGAGGAAGCAATGCTTCCCGTCCTCCCCCCCCCCCCCAAGCAAAATAAAAAGGTTGGGCACACAGTAGATGCTTAATAAATTCTTATTGACTAATGTTTTCTAAGGTCTCTTGCCGTTCTAAATCCTCTAATACCTGAGGAAGAAGTTTTTCTGTGGATCCTAGTGGCTCCCTTGTGGGTAAAACATTAAGTTTTAAATTGGGGATATATAATTACACACACACACACACACACACACACACACACACCCCCGAGGGGGAAGAGTGTTCACATCCTTATAAATGGTGTTCCACAAGTCTTAGTGCGATTTTAACGTGCGAAAGCTTAAAACCACATTAGACTTTTGGGACAGCTTGAACGGGTAATGAAAGACACGAACAATTTTCAGGGGAACAATGACTTATTTCACTTTGCTCATCAAAGTGTGTTTGCTGTGATGGTCCCGTGGGGACACTGCTCTTCACAAACTCCCAGCCAACTGGAAAAGCCCAGATTCCTCTCCACTCCATAGGCTAAGACAGACCCAGGATTTCCGCCTACCCTCGAGCTGGAAGCACTGCGCAGCCGCCAGCAGTCCCAGCCGACAAGTTAGGAGCACTGCGCCTGCGCCGGCCACCTCACAGTGCGCCCTGACCAGACTGCGCTCGAGCCGCCATCGTCGCTGGGTTTGAACCTTCCACCCCACCGTAGCCAGATTGCTGGTTAGGCCACTCGGTCTTTCCTTCTTTCTTTCTTTCAAGTCTCCCCGTCCCCGGCTTCAAACTGGAGTCCTTTGCAGCGGCAGGAAGAGGGAGTCCCCTCCGCAGTATCCGAGCCGAGACTGTGGAGATGGCAGCTCAGAAGATCAACGAAGGGCTGGAGCATATCGCCAAAGCAGAGAAATAGTGAGTGAGCCCGGCCCGGGGCTGGGGCATGGGTCGCCGTTGTCCTTGAACCAAGGACTCGCCCTGGACTTGCCATTCCCCCTAGCCCTCGGGAGCCCGGCCGAGGTGCTCGAGGCCCCTGACAGCTACTCTAGCCCTGGCTGAGGGAAATGCTGGACATGGGAGTAGGGGATCGCGGTGCACCCTGGGAGTTGTAGTTTGTTCTGTCCCTACCCCGACTTTCCGGAAGTGGCTGAGGAAGTTACTAGTAATACTGCAGTGTTTGCTCCTTTCTGGGAAATGGTTGTGGGATCTATGCTTCTGTTCTTGTTTCTTCTAAAGGAATCCCAATTGGATACTAACGTAAATTATTATACTAACAAATTCCACGAAGGGGCCCGTTGTCTAATCTCTCATTTCTTCTACCTTGTAAGAATAATAATAATTAGTAGGTATTCACATGCTTTCATTTAATTTTTGATTTCACATTTCCGTGTAGAATAAGCTTCTGTAATTGTTGAGTGAGAGTGAGATCTAGCCTCTTGTGTAGCACTCTTCTTCCCTTCAGTGCCCAACTTCCTGTAGATTATCCAATAGATTATCCATCTGCCTCTCCTGTGACGATGGTATTGACAATTGTCATTTGAATCGAGTTATAAATGACAACCACACATTGGCAGAAACATTATGTGATGTTTTGTGAAGAACCCACAGCACGCCTATTCCTTCCTTCAAAAGCGCCAGAGATCACACCTATTCCATCCATTTTCTCCACTAAAAAAACTGTTTTCTATCTGAAGCCTTGGGGGTATTTTCTGACTCTTCTCTGGACATCAGCTACCATTCAGCCTCTTTATCAGAGAAAAATAATTTCACTATTGCTTGAATATGTGTAAATATTTGATATATGAAGTTTAGATGGTATATGTTTTATTGTCCTCATTAGTGTAAATTCTTAGAAGGTAAGGATCATACCAATTTAATTTTGTATGGGCTTGATATATTTGGGTAATTAAGTGCCACTTCCTGATGAAGAAGATGAGAGAGAGCATGGTATGCAGACAACTCAGATTTTCCATTGGACTACCAGATTATGCATTCCATCTAATCAGTAAATACAGTTTTACTTTCCAGTAGCAGTTAGGGGTGCATGTTTCCGTGACTTAGGAAATGTCTTAAGTAAGTTTAGAGGAGTAATAGCTTGTCAGTGAAGGATCTTTTTATTTCAAACTCAGTAATGTTTATGATAGAATTTGCCGTAACACATTTTTCACTCACACCCCCAGATTCCAGGGTGAGGTGGAATGTTTAGCATAGTATATTCCTTATTTTTACTGTAACCTTCAGATTATTTTTCCATTTCTCAACAACTTTTTTTTTTTAAGTCCATGCTATCCATTTATACTCCTTTCTCTCTCTTTTTCATTGTATCTACTGACCTTCAGGATGCTCTCTCCTCTTTTTATTCCTTCAGCTCACCACCCCATTCCCTGACTTCAGTGTTACTTCGATGATCTCATAATCCTTGAGAAGACCAATGACATTCATCTTCACTTCAAATACCCACAAATGTGTGGTCACACTTTGAATTTCATCATTACATTTAGGTATTCTGTTTCTAAGATTTTGAATTTTAAATTTCCCTTCTGAGATCTTTCAAATTTTTTCCATATATTTCATATAACCCTTTCTCGTTCTCTCAGTTCTTTCCTATTCACTCAGTCCATTCGTGATTTGCCCCCTGAGTAAATCATACCATATGCTTTCTCCCCTGTTCTTAAGTGTGCTAAATATTGCTGAAGAAGGTCATGAAACTACTTTGTTACCATTTCATTCTGTCTCTGTTTTAGGTGGATCATTGCTGTTTCTCAGCGTTTGATTAATCTTTTGTTGACTTGTTAAGTGATTCTCTACAACTGCTGTTCAAATTTTTATATTTTTCACCAATGTGGCCTTCTTTCTCACTATTTGCAGATGACCTTGACTGTTTATTTAGAAGATCAGAGACATCTAAAATTACTTCCCTCAACTTCTTTCCCCTCTACTCTAAAATTTCTTTCTCTAAAATATCTTCACCCATATTCTCTTTGATACTGTATCACACGTTACTTTTTCTTTCTGAGACTAACCAAAATATTCACCGACTTAAGCTATCATCTCTTTCAATTCACTCGTTTTGTAGTTGAAGAGCTAGAGACTCAGAGAGATAAGTAACTTATCAAACTTATGAAGTTATTAAGTAGTAGAATCAGGACTTTAACCTATCTTCTGATACTAAATCCAGTGACCTCTCCACTATGCCATCCTCCCTTGTATCCTTGATCCCATCCTATTCTGTCTTCAGGTTCTTATTTTGTAGATTATCTCTTCTCTCTGTCCCTGTTTCTATCTTTCTAGGTACCTTCCTTCCTTCGTTCCTTCTTTCCTTCCTTTCTTTCTTCTTGTTCTACTCCTACTCCTACTTCTACTTCTTGAAGAGACTTGAACAGGTTTGAATTAGAGGGGAAACTTACCTTCTCTATCCTTAGTCCAGACTGAGTCTCTATTTCCCCAGTTCTTTACTGAAAAGTAAAGAATGGGGAACCTAGAACATGGTAGATATTTTACTATCCTCAGTCCTTGATGAATTCTTCCTCATCTGGCCAATGGACCAAAAGTTTTGTCCTTGTCTTTCTTGCCCAGCAATAGGCAACCCATTTTGGGCCCCTTAGATAAGCTTCACTCTCTGATTCTGTGTGAGAAGGAGCCATATCTTTGCCTCATTCATATCTCTGGACAAGAAAGGCCTTTTTTCTTAGTTCATTTGCTCACACTGTTCCTTTTATGTAGAATGCACTTTTTTTTTTCATTTTCTTCTGCCTGATATCTTATAGGTACCTAGTTATTTACAGGTTGTCTCCATTAGAATGTGAGCTCCTTGAGAGCAGGGACTATTTTTATCTTTATTTGTATATCCAGTACTTAGCACAGTGGTGGACACGTATTGTTTAATAAGTGATTGTTGACCCAACTGACTTATCCTTCAAATGATGCCTTCTCTAGTCCCTTACCCTCCTCTGTGCTTCAGTGGTATTTTGTACTTCTTATATTACACTTTTATATTCTATCTAATATCATAGTGTATGTATGCATGCATGTATGCAAACACTTCTCCAATAGACTTTCAGCTCTTTAAGGTCAGGGACTTTGTTTTGCTCATTCTTATATTGCTTAGCACCTAGGACAGTTCCTTGACCATAGTTTTGTTTTCTCAGTGTTTGTAGAGAGAACAAATATTTTAACATTGAGACTAACAGAAGTAAATAGTAAGTGTGTTTGACTAAATTGATACTTCTAGACCCCTCTACTTCTAAATTTTTGATGTTTTTTAGTTTCCAGATATCTTTAACTGTTAACCAAATGTCTCTTATGTTTTACAAGGCAGAAAGAAAGTATACTTGATCCCAGATCAGAATATACCGCTATATACTACTTTATACTATTAAAATTTAATGACTACCATACTTCCTGCTTAACTATAGTAGTTGGAATTGCTTTTAATAAGGATATATAAAAGACATATTTTTTTGTTAGACCTTGTATCCTTATTTTTGGTTAGGAAAATTTGATCACTAAAATCAACAACTTAGAAGATTTAGTAACCTAATATTCTATTGGTTGCAGTGTTTTCTTTCAAATTTTCACAGGGTGAAGAATTGGAAAAAATCTTAGACATCATCCAGTCCAAATTCCACATTTTGCAGAGTTGGAAACTGAGGTCCAGAAAAGTAAAGTGGTCTGTTCCACATTATGTAGGCAGTAAATAGCAGAGCTGGAGTTTGAACTTAGGTCTGTTAATTCTGAATCTAATGTTCTTTTTCCTGCACCACTGGGAGCACCAGTGAAGAAGGACTGATTAGTTAAAGACTTTTCTTCTAACAGTCTTGTCTTTGGATCCATTCTGCCTATGATTCTTCCCCAGCTTTATTTCCAAGGTTGTTGCTAATGAACTACTAAGTTCGTTTAAAACATCCATATGTATGTATGTGTATTATGTAGTTATGGTTTTGTTTCATTCAGTGGTTCTGCACCAAATGATCCATTCTGGTCAGATTGGATTCCTTCTCTAGGAGGAAGGAGTGGGGAGAGGTAGACAGAAATAGCTAGAATGACTGTTGAAATGATGGGTGCAGCCCATGATGTTAAAAAAATTATACCAACTCTGCATTCTTGTAGTTTCCTCATGATTGACATATTTAGAAGGTTCCTGGGATTTACTTGCCTAGGTATGTACATTTAAAAAAGGCTACCAGCTCCCTTTGCACCAGAGTATGGGACCTAACCAGTATAGTACTGAGTTGCTTGAAACTACCATATGTACTCCTTTATCTCTTAGAAACTATTGCAGAAATCTGAGAAATTGAGTGACCGGAGAAGCTGATTGGCACTGTATTTTTGTAGTATGTATACCTTACTAGTCTGTGTGTTATGTGTGAATACATATATGTCTATGTTATTTGTGTATATGTATATTTGGACATGTTATTATTAAACTATATAGTTAGATTTAAGGAATATAGGGCCATAGTTCTGTTCTGTGAGATGTAGATCTGGACTAATTTACTGAGTTCCTACTAGGTACACAGCACTAAGCTAAGAATGGTGGCAATATAAGAAAACTGTAAATCGTGATTCTTAACCTTAGAAAGTTTGTAGTTCAGGGGCAGCTGGGTGGCACAGTGGATAGAGCACCAGTCCTGGAATTCAAGTCCGGCCTCAGACACATAACACTGACTAGCTGTGTGACCCTGGGCAAGTCACTTAACCTCATTTCCTATCCTAAAAAAGAGAAAGAAAAAAAAAAAGAAAGCTTGCAGTTCAGTTAAAGGGATAAAGTAATACTTGTTTTGAAGGATCTTTCCAGTGAACCACTTGTTTCTTATGGTGATAAGACAGTTCCAAAGTTAAGAACATAATTAATTAATTTCCTAGAGTAGTTAGATATTTAGGCTATGAACCAAATGTTCACAGGAACAAAAAGAAATAGCTCCTACAAGTTCTTGCTTGTGAATCTCTTAGACGTTTCATAACTAGACGATTGAATTCATAGTGTACACTGACTTAACAGTGGCCTAGAGCTGACCATGGGTCTTTAAAAGGTCATGCTAAATGTAAGCTCTTCTGAGTTTTACTATGCTAGAACAGTTTTTTGGAAAATTCTGGCAACAAACCATTTTCTTTCCTAGCAAGAAAGTAGTTTCCCAAGTGTGGAGAGGCTCATTACTAGTAGGTTGGGCACTGCATGATGAACTTTTTGGCCAAAGAAATAAAGAAAAATACAAAATGGCTCCCAGACCAGTGAGGCCCCCTATTGTTTTTGCAGTGACGATGGCAAAGTGGCAGAGAAGGGGTCAGAGCAAAGGTCAGAATAATAACCCTGATAATAATAATTGACATTTATATAGCATTTTAAGGTTTGAAAAGCACTTTTATGTACTTTATCTTATTTGATCAATGCCAGTCCTAGATGATAAGCTAAAGATGAGATGCCAAAGGAGGCATTTAGTTATAAAGCTGTAGGCCAGTTGTTAGCATTCTCTTCCTCTTCATATTACCTTATATTTACTTATCTTTATATTATGTCTGTGCCTTTAAGGACTGCTGAAAATGCATGTAACTATTCCTTTCCACTGCAGGGTATGAGCAGGTGGCAGAGTGGAAAAAAACAACAACCAGGCTGAGGTTAAAGAGGTTTGAATTCTGTTCCGAAGTCTTAGTAATTAGCTTTGTTGCTATGGGCAAGTCATTTAGGCAAACTAAAGTCTTGAGAACTTATCTGTAAAATGAGAGAGTTTGGGCTGGGTAATCTCTAAAATTATGTAATCCTATATCTTTTGTTGATTTTAATTTTATAGTCAGTTATGCATATTTCCTACCAAGCTATTTTATCACTTCCTTTAAAAAAATCTTTGGCCTTTCCATTTAATGTTTTTCTCCATACTCTTCCATATATTTATTCTCCTTGAGAATGTTAAGTATTCTAATAAGCCAAGTCATGAGAAAAATATTATACTTTATTAATGATAGAGATCTCACTTTGCAACATCACTTATAAATCTACTGTTTTCTTGAATTCTTCATATTCATAATTTCTTTCTTCACAGTAATAATGAATTACCTAGTTTTTTTTTTTTTTTAAGTTCTCTGACTGCACACAAAGTTGCCTGTACCAGTGTCGCCAAGCTCAAAGAGTTTTAATCTGATTTGGGCCTCACTTGCAGCATGCTACGAGTAAGGCCCAAATCAGATTAAAATGTAACAGATAATGTTAATATGAGGTTTTCTAACCCTGCAGCTCACAGGGATCCTTATATACGGTTAGTGACCCCTGCGTCTTGGGGAATATTTGACAAAATAAATACAAATATAATAGAACATAACAAAGTGTTGATAATGTGGTTTTCTAACTCTACAACTTGCAGGGATCCTTATATATAATTAGTGGCCCCATTTCTATTTGAGTTTGATGTCACTGGTCTGAGAATTTTAAGAAGAAATATAGATGAATTTGGTAGAGATTAAGCAATTAACACATGTAAGCACCTGAGCATTATGCTAGGTGATGATGGGAATACAAAAAGTTTAGAGAGGCATAGCTAGAAGAGAAATTGCTGGCATTGAGTCAGAAAGACCTAGAATTAGATCTCATTTTCAACATTTATTGTGCTTTATGACCCTGGGTGAGAAACTTAAATTTCTTTGAGACTCAGTTTCCTCATCTGTAAAATGGGGATAATGGTACCTATGATATTTATCTTACTGAATTGTTAGAAGACTTAAATGAGATAATATATGTAAAATATTTTGCCGAGGTTAAAGTGTTACATCAGTTTCAGCTCTTAGTATAATTATTATTATAAAACATTAGCCTGCTTGCCTGGAATTTGTGGTCAAGGAGGGGGATATTACATGAACACAGATTGCATATGACGCAAAATTACAAGAGCCTAGCACAATGCTTCACATATATCAGGCAGTTAATTTTTGGTTAATTGAATTGAATAAATACATTAAAGAGTTACAAAACAGAGTGCTATGTGATCAGAGTGGTAATGTTAGAAAACAAAGTACTGATGAGAATCAGAGGATCAAAGAAGAAGACTTCAGGTATTACATCCCCTTTTAAATTGGTCTTTAAAGGATGGACAGGCTAACTGGTCAAAGCAGGGCATTCCAAGCATAGGAGTTAGCTTAAGCAACTGCATGGAGTTGTGAAAATGCAGTATGTTTGTAGAAGCTGAGAACTGTCCAAGTTGATTGATGTGACTTCTACTCTTTGTCTATCTGTCTATCTGCTGTTCAAATCTAAGTCTTTCTCTGCTGTTTCTCAATCTAGTATTTTCCCACTATGTACAACACTGTAATGGTGCTGGATTTGGAATCAGCATAGAGGAACCTGGATTTCAATTCTGCCTTTGACTTTTATTGACCATGTTACTTTGGGCCAGTCACTCAACTTTTCTGAAACTCAGTTTCCTCATCTTTAAAATGATAGCTTTAATATTTGAAAAGATCTACCTCACCCTCTCAAATTGTTTGGAGCAAAGTGCTTTGCAAACCGTAAAACAATATGTACATTTGAGTTACATTATGATTATACCTTGGCTCTTTTATTGTAATCTTAACTGATTTCATGGTTGTAATATGTATCTCGTTATTTTTCTAAGTTAAGCTACATTATATAGGCAAAGTATCTTCTATATGTATGTCTTCCAAATCTGCAGAGTTCCTTTATAAACTTTTCTGTCTTGAGACCATAATGTCACTTATTTTTTTAAAGCATTTTTTGCTTATTTGCATAAAAAAAAAGTGATCATATGATTATTCTTGGTTCTACAGAGTTGGACCAAACTGTTGTCATTGTTATTAAAGAAAAATCATATTTAACATAGCTAAGAGAACACATGCAAACATTAGTAATATTATGTCTATTATGGCTGAATCAAGGCAACATGGATTTTATATCTTGGAACCAGGGATTTTAACATTGGAGATTATTTTTATGATAAGTTGACAGAGTTCAACATTTCCATAGCTAGATGTAAGGAAATACTGCTTTGTCTATATTCAGTATGAGCTAATACTAATTTTTGCTATATCACAGAATCAGGGATTTTGAGAATAAGAAAGGATCTCACCAGTCATGTAGTCCAGCTCATTACATAAAAGGAATTCTCACTATGACATTAGTGATATATAGAAGAGCAATATGGAATTTGAACCTGTAATACTAAATATCATTTGAAAATATATATAAAATTCATCAGGAGTGAGCATGTTTGGTAGGTTGTTAAATTATTTTAATGAATATTATTTTATGTTGTGTTAAAGCATAAAGTTGATCATATCTCCATAATAAATGCTTGTTGAATTGAATTGAATTTCATGTTTCTGAGTATAGATTCATGGTCCTCAAAAGAAAAGAAGGACTTTTCTTGGCTCTTAACCTTGCCCCGTTATCTTCAGGGATACTTGCTTTTGACATCTCAGACTTCTTTCTGAGCCTGTCAGGAATAATTGACGGATTGTGCCTTATTTTATGTAGGAACATTTACAGTTATGTTTATACAGAAATGTTATGAGAGGAAATAAGATATTTTAGTATTTTGACACATTTCTTAATATTTGGAGTTCAGTATCTTTTTATTTGTTTATTCATTTTCCTACTCTTCATAACCTCTTTTGGGGTTTTCTTGGTAAAGATACTGGAATGGTTTGCCATTTCCTTCACCCGCTCATTTTACAGATGAGGAAACTGAGGCAAATAAGTGTTAAGTGACTTGCCCAGGGTCATACATCTAGTAAGTATCTAAGATCAGATTTGAACACAGGTCCTCATGACTCCAGGCCTGGCATACTATCCTCTGTGCCACCTACCACAGTAGTATCTAGCACCTAGTATCTAAATATACCCTAATTTATTTTTTATTGAACAGTAGGATTTGGGGCAAACTTTTATTCTTTTTTTTTTATCTTGAACCATTGTCTTGATCAGAGTAGCTAAGTCTTTCACAATTGATCTTCATTATAGTGTTTCTCTTATTATGCACAATGTTCTCCTGGTTCTGCTCATTTCACTTTGCATTGGTTCATATAAATCTTCTCAGGTTTTTCTGAAACTGTCCCCCTCATCATTTCTTATAGCATAATAGTATTCCATCACAACCATTTGCCACAACTTGTTCAGCCATTCCCTAATTGATAGGCATCACCTCAATTTCCAAATTTTTGTGGGGCAGACTTGAAAAAAATGCTTAATGCCATGGTTCTAGTTACTAACTAGGTAAGGACATATATACAAGTGTTAAATTATATACTTGGCTAAAAGAAAATAAATTGATGACTTTTGGTCCTGGCACATAGTGTCAAAAAATGATTGGGTGTATGCCTGGTAGCAAGTTGAACATGCTATATGTAAGCTATTATGGATTCTCCAGTTCTAGGCTTCTGTTTTATTAGACATGCTTGGTCCCCCTCTTGTCTTTGAGACTGACATTGTGGTATGATCACAGAATTCTATCAATTGAATGGAAGTTCACTTCATTTAATGTGCAAAGAACAATGTTTAGAAAATGGAACCATACTGAAGACAAGTTTTCTATTTTTTTTTAAAGAAACTTAAATGATTAGCTAATAGGTTACTAACTAGTAGGTTACTAATTCAAACCTTGTCCATTTGGATTACAGTACAGTGCTGTTGTTTTGTAATTGGGAACCCTTTAATAAAGGAGGAAATGAGTAATTTAAATTAATTGTCATTAAATGTTGGGTTAGAAAGTTCTTTTGTTTTATCTCTGCTATAATTCAGTTTCTTAAGGTTATCTTTGTCAGTAATACTTGCCAATGCATCATGATTCATCTGACTTAGAAATGTAGATGATCAGCTGTATTAAAGTTGTCTTCTTTTTCACTTTAGCCTGAAAACTGGTTTTTTAAAATGGAAGCCAGATTATGACAGTGCGGCAACTGAATATGGGAAAGCAGGTAGGAATGACTCTAAGACTTTTAGATCAAGTGCTATATCTTAAAGTAATCATTTGCTTCCATCTAGCATGACATTAATGCAAGTAGATCTCTTTCTAGTTTTAACAGCAAGACCGTCATATGCCTTGGTTTTTCTTCCACTTAATTACTGATGGCCTCCTTCATCGTTGGACTGTGATCCACTGCTTCCTTTCATCTGAATAGTGAGAGTGGTGGTACTCAGAAGGAGATTTTAGTAGTTTCAGTATGTGTTATTATTCTCTTGCTCCTCCCATCTTTGTGGTAATCATGGTGATTTAATGGGTTACATATTGTGTAACTTCTGCTATAATATTAATTTATAGACTTTTTCATGGCAAAATGGAATATATGTTGGTTGTTTGTTTAATTCTCTTATAAGATAATCTTCATGTTTTCTGGAAACACATGTAATGGTATATTTATGTAAGTTAGACTCTTTCAGTTTGATGTTAAGCCACATGGGTTACTTTAGAATCATAAAATGATAGTTCCAGAAGAGACCTCAGAGGTAAATTTGTCCCGCCCACATCCCCTCACAGCATGCCCAACATATGGTCATCCAATCTTCACTTGAAGGCCTGCATTGATGGGAGCTATGTCCTAAGGCAGTCCATTCTATTTCTAAATAGCTATAATTGTTAGGAATTCCTTCCTTATATTTACTCCAAATCGGCTTCTTTGTAACCAGTGGTGCTAGTAACCCAGTGGTCCTAATTTTGCCTTATGAGGCCAAGCAGAATAAGTTTAATTTCTCTTTCACATACCAGCTTTTGGTTTTAAGTCTTCTCACCATCTGGGTCACCCTCCTCAGGACAGGCTTCCAGATTATCAAGATTTTTCCTAGAATATGACACGTAGAATTGGACATAAAACTTAATTAGTTCAGTAGGGTTTTTTTGTTTGTTTTTTGGGAAGGGTTAATGATCCCCACCCCCTTTTAAAATACAAAACTATTCTTTGGTTTGATGTGTGACATAGTTAATTTGTGGTTAAAATTTGGGTTCAATTTGGGGGGGGCAATAGATTTGTATACTTTATTACAGTTTTTGACCCATAGTTTAGTTTTACCTTTATTATACCATATTGTGGTACATAAGTTAGCTTTTTAAGGTTAAAAGATCTGCTTCCGAATTACTTAGCTTGTAATGCTATTATTGTTAGTTGCTAAGCACCTTCACCCCATCTTAACACAAGTATATGGCAGGTATAAGCCATCTCTTTTCACTCTTCTGAGGCCTGCTAATTTTAAGCAATGAAGATATTCAGCAGTAGTGGGGAGCTGAGAATATACTGGAGATAGATAGTTCCCCATTTATTCAGTTGAACGTATAGCACTTCCTGGGCTTAGAATTGGTATTAAGGTTAGAGTTGGAGAAGCAGTAGGAGGAGAATGGGAGAAAGATGAGGCACCGTATACAATAAAGAAGTATGTGTATACCTGTAATTGAGTGGAAGAGGATAAGAAGGCAAGGGAATAAGAGTCTTAGGATGAGTAGGAGTATTTGATGTTCTTTCCTCCCTTTCTTTTTTCCTCAAACTTCTATCCACCACCCCCAATAAAATCATAGGTCTCAGAAAGGTAAGATAAGTCTATCTTCTTCTTTACATTGTACTTCCATGTTGTCCTCCCTCCCCAAAGTACCAAAATAATTCCAGTCATCTGTAGTTGATCTCATTAGGGTATTAGTATAGTTAGAGCATAAGAAGGGTTTTTTAACTGAAATGAAGCTACATTTGGTGAAGTGGGTGGGAAACATGTGATCAGAGGCTGCTCTGGTGTACTTTATCTACTGTTCAAGGGCAGATTCTTCCAACTCCTGATACACCCAACTAGTAGGACCATAGAGTAAAATACATGGAAAATCAACATTGCTTAATAGCATGTATGCAGCTACAAAGAACTTGTTCATCCTGTTCATCTTGGTTAGAGGCTGGGGGAGATGGAAGTTGGGGTGGGGAGGTTCAGTGAAAACAAAGTGGTTGTCCCGGAGTGAGGAGGAGGGGGTAAGAATTTGGGTTGGTATAGCTAATAATTGAACCGGAATAGTGGTGCCAGGGGAGATGGGAAAAGGTTATAGGAGAAGAGGAGGGCTTGGGTCTACTGTGACATTTTAAACCCTAACTTTTAGTTGTTTCTGCCTCAATATTATATTCAGACGTGAGGCTGCCATCAAAGTTATACAAATAGTAGCAGTAGTAGTATTTTTTTAGCCATTTAATTAGGCTTAATAGTATAACAGCATGAAGTTTCTTCTGTACATCTTAATAATGTAATACCTTTAAAAATCAAAGATTTAGGTAGAATTCTCTTTGAACCTTGTTTTAGTCCAGTATTTTCCTCCTTTATGAAGTATTTTTGTAATAACATTTCTACTTCTATAGCATTATTTTCATATCAGTCTTCGATTCTGGTACCCTTTAGGAGCCATAGGTTAGGGTTATTCAGCAAAGTCTGTGGCCTGCTAATACTTGTTTCAATGCCATATTAACCATTCTGTGTTAATCCTACTATACTAAACTTTAACTATCCAATTAGTTCTTCCAAGGGACAAAAAGAGTAATTTTTCCAAAGCATTTAGCAAATGTTAGGGTGTTTGGTTGTAATTTATATTTCTGACAGAAACTCTAGCTCTGCAAAAACTTTTGAAATATGGATCGTTAAATTATGTGTGGGGAGAAGAACAAAAGGAAGGCTTCTTTTAAGGTAGCATATTCGGTGGTTTATTTGTAAAGACTTCAAATGATGATATGAACTCTTAGTGCATTTTTTTATCAGTGAATTAAAAATTGCCAGTCTGCTACTTTTTGATCTAAAGAAACCAGAGTTTCATTTTTATTTTGACTGCCACTATTTTAGCTTCCTAAATTTAGCAAACTTTTAAAGGAAGATTTCTTAATTTCTGGTGTATATTTAATACTGAAAAGAAGAAAAGCAGCCTTAAAAGGGTTAATGCCACAAGTGACTATAAAAAATAGGTGATTAGAGAATCTGCAAGAAAAAAAATTTTATAAAAGAATAAATCATCAGATAATTGTATGACCAGAAAAAATGATATATCTAAAGCAAGGAACAACCAAGAGACAGTCCATATGTACTCTATTTGTATCTATCAAATGTTAAAAAAAAAAAAAGAGTAAAACAGAAAGGTCCCTAGCTCACTGAATGGACCACCCTGTGGTGAATTTAAAGGAGGACATGGTTGAGGGAATCATGGGCTGGTTAGGCATAGACAGGTTGTGAACTTCATTGTTGGAGGGATTATATTTGTGAGTGACAGCAAAGGGAAGAGGAAGAGGACCTGCCCATTTAGCCTTAGGCAAGTAACTTTAATCAATCAGCAAACATTTATTAAGCACCTACTGGGAGCCAGGCACTGTGCTAAGCAATACAAAAAGAGGCAAGAGGCATTGTACTGTCAAGAACTTACAGTCTTTCTGGAGAGACAACATATAAATATATAATATACAAAGCAAAGACAAAGGGGAAATAATTAGCAGAGAGAAGACATTAGAATGGAAAGGCTTTTTGTAAAAGATGGGATTTTTATTGGACCTCAAAAGAAGCCAAGGAAGTCAGTAGACAGACTTTGCTTTTCTGAGTCTCATTTTCCTCATCTAGGTGGGCTAGATGACCTTTGAGGTCCCTTTCTGCTCTGAATCTTTTATCTCAGAAGGTGACAGATCCATTGAAGTATTCTTTTTATTCTCTTTTTCTAAGTTCTGTATAAAGTTTTTGGAAATAAGCCCTTTCAATAATGTTTTCCCTAATGTCATGATTCATTTTGTTTTTTTTTTTCTCAAGTGATAGAAATAGAAACAAGATTTTTTTTTCTTTTTGCTTTATTTCAGCTGTTGCTTTTAAAAATGCCAAACAGTTTGATCGAGCCAAAGATGCCTGTCTGAGAGAAGCTGCCGCACATGAGAATAATAGGGCGTATCTTTTCAACATCATTTAAATGCCTTTTTAAGGAATTGAATCAGTCATCGGTTAAAAATATACCTTGGGTTGACACTAATTATTTTCCTTAGTTATGAATTTGTTACCTATGAAGGAAAACAGTATTAATTTATAAACAAATGAAAGCCTCAACATTTTTATGCTCTTTCAAATAGTTTATTTTTAATGATTTCTCCGAAGTTAGGTGTGTGTTTTTATTCACCGAATTAAGTTGGGAAAAGAATATCTTTCAGATATTTATTTTTGTGTTGCCGGGTTTGGTACCAGTGTTAAATTCTCACCTCCTTCCTCCCACATGATATGGGGTGAAGGATATGTGTATCTAGTAGTTAATAAGTTTTAAGCACCTATACTATGTGCTAAGTGCTAGTATCATGCATTGGGAATACAGATACAAAAGTGAGACAATCTCTGCCCTCAAGGAGGTTACATTCTACTGGAATGGTGCGGAGAAATAAAATAGCAAATAAATTGAGCCAGTAACTGCTAAATGACTTTTAAAAAGATATTCTGATCTACTTTGATTTTGCTTTTTTTGGTGTTGAGGCTGATAAGCAGGTCAAAGTGAAAAAATTGCCCTGAAATATTTAAAACTTACTGAATGGAAAGACTTCTCATTCTGTCTCCATTGAAAGATAGCTCTAATAATTTTTAATTTTGGTTGGGCTTGTTAAATCAACACATTGGAAATTTTAAAAGAAACTGTGCTGTGTTTCTTTAGCATCTTTCTGAAATTTATAGTTTTTAGGAAATATCTGTTACAGTCATGTATGTGTTCTCATGTATGTACTTTAATTTTAGGAGAGAAGAATTGATTTATGTCATATTTCACTCAACTTTGTTCCTATTAACTGATAAATGTCTAGACGTGTTCATTTCTTTTGTTTTTATCTTTAACTCTGACTCCTTCACATCCCCAGTCTTTTTCATGCAGCCAAGTAAGTACTTTATTTCCATCTACCTAAAATATTTGAATGTTTCCCAATTTATGGAAGCAAAGGTTTGTTGATTTAACATGTTTGTTTCTACTTACAAGAACATTAATTTATAATTTGAATGTGTACTTAAGTTGCAATCAGTATTATCTTTTCCTGTTAACCATAGAAAAAATTTCAGGCCATTTTATTCTGCAGATTAAGAGAAGAAGAACTAAATATGATCTCTTCTTTTTCCCTCCACTTATGGTAATTTTGAAAGTTATTCATCTGTGGAAGATTAGGAAGCTTGATCCTATATTCAAGTCTTTTAAAAAACTTTTTTAGCTCTATGAAGTACCTTTCATCATCTACTTTATATTGTACCAAAAATACAATATAAAAAAATAGCAGTGTAAGCATTATGAAACAAGAAAGTATAGTTGTACCCAGCTGCCTTACTATTATTAAATGAGACAGGTACTTTTACTGAGTAGTAAAATCCAGAACCTTCCCCCCCTTTCTCTTCATTTGATTAAGATCCCTTATGAAGGAAATTTGTATTTTCTGTCTTTTTGCAGGGCTTATGAACAAGCTGGCATGATGTTAAAGGTCAGTATGGCATAGATGCAACATAGGTAGTATGACTTGTTATGCTATTCCAAAATATTAAATATCAAAGTTATGTTTAGGTTGAAAGACCACAAGCTAAGAAATGCTAAGCATGGTAGAAGAACTGTTTCTTAAATAGTGCTGATCAGATTGTGAATGGAAAAGCATTAATGACTTTTTAAAAAAATGTTTTTATTTTGATAAATATTTCCCAATTATATTTTAAAAGATTTTTAACATTTATTTTTTTAAAAAAAATTAAGTTTCAAATTCTTTCCCCTCTCCTCTCCCCTCACTTCTTGAGAAGAATTTGATGTTGATTATACGTGTGAAGTCATGCAAAACATATTTTCATACTAGCTATGTTGTGAAAGAACACAGATAAAAATTAAAACAAGAAAAATAAAGTATGCTTCAATCTGCATTCAGAGTTTGTCAGTTCTCTCTCTGGAAGTGGATAGCATTTTTCATCATGACTGCTTTGGAATTATCTTGGATCATTGTCTTGATCAGAATACCTAAGTCTTTCACAGTTAATCATATTGCTGTTACTGTGTACAGTGTTCTCCTGGTTCTATTCACTTCACTTTGCATGAATTCATATAAGTCTTCCCAGGTTTTTGTGAAAACATCCTACTTGTCATTTCTTATGGCACAATAGTATTTCATCACAATCATATACTACAACTTGTTTAACCATTCCCCAATTGATGGGCATCCCCTTGATTTCCAATTCTTTGCTATCACAAAAAGTAGCTGCTGTAAATGTTTTTGAACATATAGATCCTTTTCCCTCTTCTTTGATCCCTTTGGGATACAGACCTAGTAGTAATATTACTGGGTCAAAGGGTATGCACAGTTTTATAGTTCTTTGGGCATAGTTCCAAATTACTTTCCCGTTAGTATCCCAGTTTTTCTGTATCACCTCAAGCATTTGTCATTTTCCTTTTTGGTTGTGTTAGCCAATCCTACAGGTATGTGGTGGTATCTCAGAGTTGTTTTAATTTTCATTTCTCTAATCAATAGTGATTTGGAGAATTTTTTCATGTGACTACTGATAACTTTGGTTACTTTACCTGAAAACTGCTTGTTCATATACTTTGACTATTTATCAATTGGGGAATGGCTCTTTTTTTTTTTTTATAAATTTGGCTTAGTTCCTTATATATTTGAGAAATGAGGCCTTTATCAGAGAAACTTGCTGTAAAAATTTTCCCCCAGTTTCCTGTTTTGCTTCTAATTTTGGCTGCTTTAGTTTTGTTTGTGCAAGTTTTTTAATTTCATGTAATCAAATTATTCATTTTACTTTAGGGCATTAATAATTGATGTCTTAAGAAATTAAATTTTTTTCGGCATTTTATATTACTGATTTTATTAACTTTTTGAAACACAACTATAGTTGAAGATTACAATGAAAACAGTAGCTAATACTGAATCTGTTAAGATGATTGTAGTCCATTCATTCACTATTGCATACAAAAACTAGCATTATAATGAAGAGTATTCACTGGCCCCCATTAAGAAGTTTGACACTTAACCCCACCTCTGGGATGATGCTCATCACCCTCTTAAGCTTCTCCATTGTAATGGCATCTTCTTTCTTGAGATGGTCAAGGTCCACCAGTTCTGTATGATCCTTTTCTTCAGTCTTCTCTACTTCTTTCAGGTGGTTACTTCTGACAAATATAGTTTATCTGATGAAAGAAAGCCATTCTCTGGAAAGTTTACCTTAAATTCAGTTATTGGAATTCCTTTCTCATAAGGTTGTTGATAAATTGGCATGCCTTCTTTCAGTACACATTTGTTATCTCCATTTTTAACGATTTGACCAGGATGAGAAGCAGTGACTATAGTTCTACTGTCAAGGGTTGATATTGGTTTCTGAAAACCACATAATGTTTCACCCAAGTGGATATCCATATACATGAAAAGGTTGTCACCTTGTTGTGTAAATACTGCATTGTCCTGATCCAAAACAGTGATATATCCTGGCTTAAGTCCTGGCTCCTGGTCACCTTCACCATGGAATGTTATCTTCTGACCATCTTTCATGCCCTTGTCAATATGAACCTCCAGAATCTTTGTCTCTCAAACAATTTTCCTTTCATCACAGCTTTTACATGTGTCTTTAGGGCTGATTGTTCCTCATGCCCTTGGCATTTCATGCAAACTGATTGAATTTGCTGAACCATTCCAGGTCCTATCTAATGAATTCTTATTTGCATTCCAGTACCTCTTCATTCTATAGCTCCTTTCTTAACCCTCAGTCCTTCACATTTATCACAAATTACATTCCTTTGCAAAGCCAGTTATCTTGTTGCACCATTATATAAATCTTCTAAGGGCACCAACAACTGATGAACAACATTTTTACCTCTCCATTGTCTTTGCATTCTTCTATCTCCTCCAAAAACATATCAAAGATAACCATTGGAGAACTAAAGCCACCACCAGAACCACCATATTTTATGACTTCTCCACCTTTGTCATATGTCTTTTTTTCTTTGCATCAGAAAGCACTTTGTATGCTTGAGAAAGCTGTTTGAACTTTTTGCCCTCATTTGGATTCTTATCTGGGTGATATTTCAAAGCTAGCTTTCTATATGCCCTTTTTTAAGTCATTTCCTTCACCATTTTCTTTAGTCAAGGAGTGATACTTGCAGTACACTAGGTGTTGAAATGACCATGACCTGAGTAGGGTGAAAGGGGATCGCCCAGGAGCTGGTTGTGATGTTAGGGGAGCAAATGGAAGAAAGAGAAGAGATGGAGGCAGTTCTTGTGTTTGGAGCCTGGGTAGTGGCCGCTGCTACTCTCTGTTCTTCACTGAGTTTTCTGGAAAGTTCCCAGAGATTACATTTTTAAATGTTAAATTTTATAAACTATGCTGTTTAATCTAAAAATGGTTATCAATATGTGGGTGATGTTAGCAGACCCATTATAATTTTGGTGTTTTCTCAGCTTTAGAGGACTAAAGTGAATATGCTTGATTGTCCGAACAGCTTATTTGATGTAATTTTATGTTGAGGGAATAGAGAGGTTTTATTTTTGTTTGCTTTTTACATTTTAATGGAGAGGCAATCCTTTTTGGCTCAGAAAAAGGACTTTAACTCTAGCATCTTTGGATTGTGCTGTTTTCATTAAGGCAGTTAATACTACTTTTGCTCACAAGTTTTGAAAATCACGGAAGGGGTTAATATTCTCTCAGTTTAGGGGGTAAGAAGTCATTGATTTATATCCTGTGATAACTGGCATTCAGGGTATCACAAATCCATATAGGCATTTTGAAAGATAAAAATTCTGATTGATTTTACTTTTAAATGTTTAAGCTGAATAGTAATTGAAGGAGGAAGTTTAGCTTTTTATTTTTTGTGTATGTTGATACAAATATTTTATGATGAGATTACTTATTCACTTTAATTGTAGCCAAAACATCTCATCAAAACATTTTTTGCAAAACTTTATTTTGGGGGGCTTAAATTATAATAAAAATCATTTCCTGGCCGAAACTTGATCTAGAATTTAACTTTGGTGATTCAGACTAATTTATCAATAACAATAGCTCCTTAAGAGCTAGTGTTGAAACCTGAGTTTCCCCCTTTTCCTTGGATCCCCTTAGAACTAAATACGAAAGAACTTAAAAGATTTCTTCCCTTCTACATCGCATACCTAACTAGGTCCAAATTGAGCTGTGACTCCTGACATTACAGTACGAGGTCTTGATGCTGGATCACCTTCATCTCCATAATCTTGTTTCCCCAGCTAAGTCTATATTGAAACAGCTAATAGGGTTGAGTCTTCACCAAAGCTTACTATTAAGACATATTTGCAACTGTTTAATTTGAATGTTTGAAGGCAGAGTTTAGAATGAATAAAAAGTAAATTTGGGTAGATTGGCAGACAGATTTAGGAAAGGCATTTTGGCATGTATTTGAATTCAGTAAACATGTACAATTCCAGGCAACATTATGAATCCTGAGCTTCACGGTCCTGAATAAAATTTCTTGGCTAAACTTTCCACCCATTTTCCATGTAAACCTTTATGGCAGTGCATTGTGAGACCTGTGGCCAACTTCTGGACAGAGGTATGCAGTGGGCCTCAGAGCTCTTGTATCCACTTCTGGTTTTAATTCTAAATCTTAAGGACTGTATCTTATTTGCCTCAGAGGGACCATGTGGTTTAAAAAGTGACCAGATTGAAATATTAACATTTTTACTTTATGCTTTATAATTGAAACCTTTCTACCAGCTCATAGAAAAGTCCTGAGTGGCACAACTGAGAAGTTGGCAGTATGTCAGTTTGAAAGGAAATGCTGGGATTATGGTAGGGCTTCTGATGCTCAGAAAATGAAGGCAAAACATTTATAAATCATGCTTTCTTTCTTTCTTTTTTTTTTTTAAGTGGGGCAATTGGGGTTAACCCAAGGTCACACAGCTAGTACATGTCAAGTGTTTGGTCTGAGGCCAGATTTGAACTCAGGTCCTCCTGACTTCAGGGCCGGTGCTCTATCCACTGCGCCACGCAGCTGCCCCTTTTTCTTTTTTTTTTTTTTTAGTTTCCAATTATAAATCATGCTTAATCTTTATCTAACGCCAATAGAAGGGGTTTTGAGTGTAGAAATGTCAGAATCATATCTGTGTATGAGGAATAGTAATTGAGTAGCCGTGCTTTTGAGGGAATGAGCTTAGAAACACAAGAGGTAGGAAGCTCTAGCTGCAATATAGGTCAGTACCAGAGTCCATGAGAAATATACACCTGAGTTGATGGTGATGGAAATGAAGAAAGGATACATGTGACAGGTGTTACAAAATAGTGAATTATATGTGCACAGAAATTATTTTTTCTCTCATCTTTTTTTCTCAATTACATGTGAAAATTTTTTTAGCATTCATTTTTTAAAATTCCCTCCCTCTCCTCCCTGTCTTTGAGCAGGCCAGCAATTTGATATAAATTATACATGTGAAGTCTTACAAAGCACATTTCCATATTAGCCATGTATGTATATAGAAATTAATATATTTTGATTTGATTCGGTGCAACATAGGTCATGTATGTACTCGTGAGAATTCATCTAATCCTGTATATTGTGTGTATGTATGTGTACACAGAAACCTAGATACTGTTGTGAAAATCACATGGAAGAAATTTGTTAAATTTGGCTTTCCTGTGTTTTAGGTGTTAAGTCAGTAAACTCTAAGTTCCTTCCCTGACCCATAGTGTATCTCTTGACTAAAGGAGATGCAGAAATTACCTGAAGCTGTTCAACTGATTGAGAAAGCCAGTATGATGTTTCTGGAGAATGGGACGCCTGACACAGCAGCCATGGCCTTGGAACGGGCAGGAAAGTAAGTCCCTGAAATCTGTTGCTGGAAATAAGTGAGGACAAGGCATGATTTTTTCTCATTTCAATCAAATTCCTGGAAGAAGGTACTTCCCATTCCTAACTTAAAAAATAATACTTGTCTTGTTCATTTTAGACTTATAGAAAATGTGAACCCTGAAAAGGCTGTACAGTTATATCAACAGACAGCTAATGTGTTTGAAGTAAGTTTTCACTTTTCTTGACTATTGGACATGGCCTTGAAATTTATTGAAAAAGGGACATGTGGGGCAAAAAAAACCCCATTAAGTGGGTGTGATTTAGTGTGGATTTGGATAGTAAAGGCTGTCCATTGCAGTTTGCAAAGCTGTGTGTTGGGTCCATCATTCACTAACAACTTCTACTTATTCCCCAATTTTGAGGAACTCTTGTTTTTGTCAACTTAGTATTTTGTTTAACTGATGTTTATCATGTTTACACTATACTAGAATTCTAGTTCAGTTAATGAGAATGTAATAAAATACACTTCAAACTAAAACTTCACTTTCAGTTCAAGTCTTTATTATCTCCTATTGTACAAAGTGTTTGTTGTTGTTATTGTTTTGAGGAGGAAGGGATTTGCCACCAAGAACAATAAGACAGTCTCCATCTTTGTACCACTGACATTGTACAATAAAATTCTGCTAATGTGAACCTCTTTAGTTATCTGACTAGATACATGGGAGTTTACTGTATATCATTTTCCTTTTCTGCCTTCAATGGGAAATATAGGAAGAAAAGAAATAAATAATCCTTTTTTTTTCCACTAAAAGAAAGTTATCTCCTTAACATAGGCCAAGGAATTATATTGAATAACCTTCAGAAATCTCTTCCACATTGACATTCTAATTCTATTCCCTTCTGTTACCAGAGATCAGTGAAATGGGTTTGGCAGATGTCATAATGCTACTTAGAAAATGTACTTTCTTTGGTAGATTGGTTTTATTTTTTTTTTCTTAATCATATCATGAGACAAATGTAAATAGGACCTTCTTTTTATCCCCAATATGCAGTACAGTTCCTTGCACATAGTAGATGCTTAATAAATGCTTGTTGAATTGACTTACTGATCAAAATTGGCAACATGTCCTTTTCTTGCATTTCTTAAGAATGAAGAACGCCTAAGACAAGCAGTTGAATTACTAGGAAAAGCCTCTCGACTTTTAGTACGAGGACGTAGGTATGTTTTCTATCATATTCTATTCTTGTTTTTATTTTCCATAAGCCATGTTTGCAGCCATTAAATAATGTGAGGAATAACACGGTATTTTCTAGGTGCAAATTACAAATTAATTTTCATAGACAAAACCACCATACTGAATACTATCATGTTAGCCCTAAAAATGTCAGTTTTTTGCCAATGTTTTAATGACTTGTCAAATGTTTCTGCCTTCTGAAATAATTATTTCTTGATCTGTCTTCTGGGTGACTTTTGTGTTGCCTCTACTGAGGGTTGAGAATTGTAGAGATTTTAGTGACAAGATTCTTTAAAATATTGGACCAAGAAAAATGGATATGGTCTTATCGAGTCAAGAAAACAGTATTGTCAGATGAAGATAATGAAATAAGATAAATATCCGAAAATAAGAAAACTGAAATCTTTGCATTTCTCTCCCCTTCCCCCTCCCTTTTTTTTTCTTTACTCTCATGTGAAAACATTTTTCAGCACTGGGGAGAAGGATGGATTGGTTTCAGTACGCAACTTCTGTCTTTTGTAAAATCCCAATGGCTAAAATTTAACTTTAAATAGTTTTGATATAAATCAGGCATTCCGTCATCAAACATTTATGAAGTGCCTACTATATACTAGGCACTGTGCTAAACTCTGGGGATATAAAGAAAGGCAAAAAACAGTTCCTTCATTCAAATAGCTCACAGTCTAGTGGGAGTAACGTGCAAACAACTATGTACAAGCAAGATATAGAGAAGAAAAATTGATGGTAGTCTCAGAGGGAAGATACTAAGATTAAGGATTTGGAAAGACTTCTTGAGGAAGGTAGAACTTTAGCTGAGATTTGAAGGAAGCCAGAGAGATATTCTTCAAAGGACTCTGTAGATATGCAAATAAAAATGCAATATATATATATGCATTATACATTATATTATATGTGTGTGTGTACGTGTCACATATACATACACATATGTGTATATCTATATACACAGAAACACATAATGAAATCTGGCCATTTTCTAATCATTTTAGCAAGGCATGATTCTATGCTATGTTTGAACTGATGCAGAAAAAGACCTGATAATGGTTTTTGGTCAAGAGATCCAAAGCAACTGGTTGACAAAAATGGTTTTGCAGAGCGACTTCTGAGGCCAAATTATGACATGCCATTATCTTTATAAGGAATGTGCCATTCTGTGACTTAGAGGTATGTTCCTTTCCATAGAGTTTTCTAAGAACTCACTCAGCACATACACTTGTGTTTCAAACTATACCATGTTTTTATATAAAGCAGCTAAATGAATTGCACTGTTATAGTGTTGATGGGAGTGAAAGGCACTGGGGAGCACAAGAAGCTGTAGTTACAGAGGGATAACTGGGACCTTTTATGTAACATGTGTCTGTCTGGAGCATATTCCTAAGTTATACCAGAATCTGACTTTTGGGTACAAGTTAAGTAGCAGACTCAGAACACAAAGTATGTGATGTTGATAATGGAAAGAGAGTGAAAGCATAGAATTTTAAATTGCACATATCTTTCATTTATGTGCTTACCTATTTTCTATTATTAAAGGACCTTCCTTTCAAGGTTTTGTCACCTCTTGAAATGGTAACATTTATGCATCAGTGTAGCAGATTAAAGTGAACAATTTCTTTTATTTATATAATTGTTGTGCTTTTCTTCCTGCTCTGGATATCAATATTCAGAAAATGGTAGTTCAGTGTGTAGATGAACGTTTTATTTAAGGCAACTTCTGGTCCAAGTTCCTTCAGTAATTCCTTAAGTGGGGGTCTTCCCTTCTGAATTACTATTTAACCCTTAGGCTCTTAGATCAACACTTCCTGATAGATAAGTCACAACAAACCAGTTGATATTGAAGGTCTGTGTGGTTTGTCTCTTAGCTTACTACCATGTCCATGACTCTTGCTCTGATGACTAGGCTGGGCATCAGTGCCGTTATCCTCTCCCCTCCCCCACCCCCTACCTCTGTTTCCCTCCACCTTTCTCCCTCTTGATCATAAAATTTAGGAAAATAAAAAGTAGTTCTTCCTCACAAAAAATTTGGAGGCTTATATCGAGATCAAGTGTGATGTTAAAGTAGCAAACTCTAGGTTTTCTTGAAGGTCTTGTGGTACTTTTGAAGAACACTTGCCCTTTATCAGATTTCCTGAAGAAATGAATGAATGAAAAAGCATTTATTACATACTTGCACTGTGCAAAGTGCTAGAGATACAAATACATAAGAGAGATAGTCCCTGCTTATAAGTAACTTACATTTCAGTAGGAGACAGAGTGGTAGGCCAGAGAGTAGTATCTGGGAGCATCATGCTTCCCTAAAACTGACTTACACAACCTTCCTTTTTGAGGTCTTGAATAGATTCATCCTTCTTGAAAAGTAGGAGGTGGGGGGTCATCAGTTGCTAGATATCTCATTTTGGCACTGCATAATTATGCATTCAATAAACATTTTCGTAGTGATAAGCACTCTACATCCTGACCATCTTCTTACCATCTATCTGTAGCCACACCCTCACACCCTCTAACCTTTTCAGATCTAAAACTTCCAACTTGGGACTTTTGTTGCCCTTAATAGAAAGAGCCTCTTATGACTCTAGGCCAGTTTCCTTGCAGTGATGCAGTATGACTGTGAATTACTGAATACTACAGTCTCCAAAGAATTAAAATTATGGGTCACCCAAAGAGCAATCAATAGATATTTGGTGATCATAAATAGTTTGTAATATACTATCATCAAAGAATTAGGCATCAGAAGCTGCATAAAAGCTATCAAAGAGATATCCAAGTATAAAAGGAGATGGGCTAATCATGTATTAAGAGTAAACGGTGAGACAAATGGACAGCCCATATGCTTCATTGGTACCCATGTAATGTAGAGTAAGGTTCCCAGGCTATTTTGGGGCTAATATGTACATTGATGAGATCATAGATTCATTAAAGTATATAGTATCAATAGTACACTCCTACCACTTAACTTAATCCTTTCCTCCTCTCCTCCCTTTCCTTTGCTACTGTCCATTCTGTTATGAAACACCCTTCTGCCGTGGTATAAAACTGAGTTTGTATCTGGAGTAGAGGGGCCAGAGGAGGCAGGTGGCAGCAAGTGGAATATATAGTGGTGAAGGGGAAAAGATAGAAAAGTGGAATTCCTGTGATTGATCATTTATTGTACCTTGGCATTATTTGAATTTAAAGGACTTTGTCAAGTTGGTTTTACATAAGTTGGGGACTGTCTGTTATAAATTTCATTTTAAAAAATTGCTCAGTTCAGTGGGTTCCTATGAATTGGCAAAATAATCCATAAAAATCTTTCTCAGTTCAATGCAATTCACATTTATTTTACATTTTCTCTTTGCAGAGCACTGTTTGGTGGAGTACAAAAATGAATAAAAAATATAGCTGTCAAGGAACTCTCTTCTACCAAGGGGATGAGTTGAACCCCAAAAACTATGAGAAAGAATTAGAAAATGATTCACTTCATAGGAGAGGTCAAACAATAACTAGAAAGATTCAAGGAGGATGGAATCATTTTTAGGTAGGGCAATCAGAGAAGGCTGCAGAGGGGAAGAGGTAGAACCTAAGTTAGATCTTGAAGAGGGGAAGGATATCAGTAGGTAGAGATGAGGACAGCAGGAGGAAGCTTTTCTAGGAATGGGAGAGGGTTCTTGTAAAGGCATGGCAGTAATGAAGATTGGAGAACAGTAAGTAATGAAGTGTAGATTGTATAAAGAAGAGTTTCATGAAATAATGCTGTAATGTTAGGGAGGAGACAGATTGTAGAGGACTGTGAATGCCAGTCTAAGTAGTTTTTTGTTTGGTAAACAGTGAAGAACCCCTAAATGTTTTTGAGATGGTTAAGGGCACAGTCAGACCTGTACATTGGAAAGATTACTTTGACAGCAGTGTGGTAGATGGATTATATAGGGGAGAGACAAGTGATCTTAAGTGTTCTTATTTATTGCTAGTCCTTTCTAGTGCATTAAGGAAGAGTCTGGATATTTGTAAAGAAGAATTTTTAGAGCTAATGGAGCCACTCTTCCCCTTGCTCCCCAAACCTGAAACAAAATATATTGCTAAGTTATGGCTCTTCTCCCCTTCTCTGACCCTGTAAAGCCAAATGTGGATTTCTTACTGTTTTTTTCATTTAGATTTGATGAGGCTGCACTTTCCATTCAGAAGGAAAAGAATATCTATAAGGAAATTGAAAATTATCCAACATGTTATAAGGTATTATTTGCAATTTATTTCATCTATGTTTTGGCTAATTTCCCATGTTACTATAGTTCCCTAAAAGAGAGGAAAGTATCTATTGGATATTTGATTGTTAATGTGACTACATGAAAGATTTGCTATTTGGCTGATATAGGAAACACCAGATACAAAAGATCCTTCCACCAAGGCAGATTGCAGTCTGTTTATAACTTGGTAGATAAATCCTTGGGTGTTGCCTGAGGTACATAGAAGTTAATCGACTTGCCTAGGGTCATACAACGAGTAAATGTCAGAAGCAGGAATTGGACCCACATCCTCCTGAGTTTAGCATCCTAGTCACTAAACCTGGCTGCCTTGCTATTTGACTATTATCTGTAAATGAAACAAACACTTTAGTAAATGAAAGTATTATTTCAGTAGGTATTATTATTGAAAGTCTCCCAAACTTACATGTATAGGATAGGTACTGCATCTATGATTTCATTGCTATAAGAAACTTCTGGGTGGGGAAATTTCCTCTCCCAGTGAGGATCAGCATCTTCTTGACCACTTAGAGTCTTTTTTTAAAAAATTTATAGAATAAAACAAGCATTTCCATAACATAGTATAATAAAAAAAGATGATTGCACTTACAGCTTTAGAGAGCTGCTAAGAGGGCTGAGAGATTGGATGACCCTTGCCCAGGGGTGTGCAGAAGCCAGAATGTGTCGCAGTCAGAACTTGAATCTCATTTAGGTTGACCTATAACATGATTGATTTTTTAGTAACTGTAAAAATTTTCATTTATATCCCCTTCCTCTTTCTACGTTCTTATTGTTTCTTTTGCCCAGAGCAGGAAGGTTTAGTGATGGGGTTGTAATAAAAAAAAAAAAAGAAAAGTAAAGGGAAAAATGTCAGAGATATATACCTAGAGAACTTAAAAAGAAATAATGAAATTTGTAATTAGCTTAGAAATGCCATTTCTCTAGTGCCCTGGAGAAGGCACTCTTAAGACTTAGTTACAGAGAGTGAGGGTAAGGGGGAGAGGGAGAGGGATAAAGAAAAACTAAAATGTTTCAGGTAAAATCCCAGATGTTTTTATCCTACTAGGAAACTGGCCTTTATTATATTCATATATATTTGAAAGGTAATCTGTCATCTCTTCTGTTTTAGAAAACAATTGCCCAAGTCTTAGTTCATCTACACAGAAATGACTATGTAGCTGCAGAAAGATGTGTCAGAGAGAGCTATAGGTAAGACATTTTCATTGATTATCTTGACATCTTGACTTTTTTTTTTCTCTTAATGCATCTTAGGTGGTCAGTGAAAAGCTTCTTTCAAGGTGCTTTGTAGTGATTTCCCATAGCCAATAGAGGCATGTCATTATTGTTTCAAGCTTTTGAGGTAGGGCTTTTGGAGCCTGTCGTATTTATTTTTAGTTATCTTCTCTGTATGATCTCATAGGAGGTTAAGACCTAAAGTGTCTTTGTTTTATTGGTTTTTTTCTCCCCAAGACAAAATTCTCAAATAGTGGGAAACATTTCATTTATTGAATTTATGTGTTCACATGTGGTGGGATGGCAGGGATTAGAATAAGATTCCTATGTTTTTTCATCAGTCATTTTTTAAGTACCTACTATATCCAGAGCATTGTATTAGGAGCTAGAGGAGGAAAAGAAAATTGAGACCATCCCTGGGAACGTGTTACGTATGCAGATAAGCAGGACTATACAATAAATGTACTATGTTTGTAGTTCAGGGGAAGGGAGGAGTGAGAGGGTGAAGGGAAAAAAACTAGACCAATTTCCCATACTATTTTATAAAACTTTATCCTCAAAACTGAAAAAACACACCACCACCACCTTGCAGTCACATAGTCTAATTAGAATTGGTTGATAGTAACTGGATTTAAGACTATTGGTGCTCTCAGGAGCTCTCAGGAGGAGTGCAGGTGGCCTACGAGAGTGAGCCACAGTGTAAATGTGGGCATGGTGTTTCCTTTAGCATACCAGGATTCAATGGAAGTGAAGACTGCACGGCCCTGGAACAGCTTTTAGAAGGGTACGACCAGCAAGACCAAGATCAAGTTTCAGAGGTCTGCAATTCTCCACTTTTTAAGTACATGGACAATGATGTAAGTGGCCATTCCATTTCTTTTTCTTCTTTGCTGCTGAAAGAGAGATCTCTCAGGGAAGAACAAGCAGCTTGTTGTTATCTTTTCTCCCCAGGCTTCTGGGGCTGATTTTTCATTTGGCTGCTTTCCAGAGAGAACCTCCCAACTGTCAGACTTCATCGTCGACTATAGGCCATTTGGGCTGATTCGTTTACAACAGCCATGCATATGGTTCATCCAAAATCTTTGGACCTGAAAACATTTACTTTTTCTGTCCAAAACTTCATTGATCCCAGCCACATTTATTAATACCATCCCATTTAATTCACAAGCCTCTTACTGTTTACCTCCTATTAATCGTTTCCCATAGCACCCAGTTAAGAGCACGACAGATGTCTGCCACCTGCAGAAAAATACACTCCTGGCTCCTGTAAAAATTCAAATGCTCCTCTTACTAGCAGGTAACAGGCAGAATGTATTAAATTTCTGTCAGGCTTGCTGCTTAATCTCTTTTAGTCCATGGTGTTTGTGAGCCTGGGCTGATTTGTTGTCATGGTATCAAATCAACTTTGCATGTAGTTTTCAAAACTCATTAATTCTGGAAGAATTCCATTTGACCAGAAGAGTTTAAATTGTTCTTGCGTACATTTGATTAGCTTCACCTTTCTTCCTGTCTCTGCCTTTGTCCACTGCCCTCCATGACACAAATTACAGAGAAGGCAAACATCTGTCCTAAAAGCACTGGGGTGTCCCCTTCCCCACAGCCCCAAGAAAATTAAACTGAAAAGGAATAGAAAGGGAAAGGGGAAAGCAGGATAGTTTGCATTTTCCCCTTAGATATACTTTCCCCTTGCTTCTTTTTGGGCCTAGGCACAAGAGCCAGTGTTACTCATTTTCAGTCGTTGCTCTACTACTTAGTAACTGCAAATAATCTAAGAAGCTTTTATTTCCTCTAACTTTGTTGTAAGACAGTGGCTGAATTTTTTAAAATAAACTATATTTAATTTCTCAGGTTTTATGCATTGCTTCCTATTTTCTGTAAAATAATGACAGATCTTATAGAAGACAAGTGTGTTTATGCATGTCTTACATACCTTCAGAATAAATATGCAATTCCTTTAATATAGTCATTCTTTTTTGGAGCTTCTATTTGGCAGAAGGTCAAGTCCTGCATGACCAAAAGTCTGAGATGACCATGTTTAAATAACCGTAGGCCTTTTACTTCCAGGTCCGTCAGGAGTATCTACAAGTGCTTTAGTAAATAGATAAAAGTTTGTACTTGCATGGACAGGTACAAACATTTCTTGGCTTTGATTCTTAAGTAAGCTAAACACATTCTGTTTATATTAATTTTCCAAAAAATCTTTTTTCTTAGGTACAATGAGCCAGAGTTTATGCCAACATGTCCCAGTTATCCAAGTTCCTAAGTAATGGAGCTGGAATTTTTCCAAGTCAAATCAACATGCATTTATTAAGTACTTACTGTGTGCCAGGGCCTGTGCTTAGCACTGGGGAGCCAAATGCTCACAAAAAGAAAGACAAAAATGAATTAATAAAGTTTTACTGTATTACACTTTCGTGCTTCTCCCATGGAAAGATGATTCTAACAAATAGCAGTGTACAACTCCAGCTATTTAATTTCCATGAAAAGAACAGGCAATGAAACCTTATGTTTCTCACTATTGTAGTGTTCTCTGAAGCCATGACAATTAATGAGCTCAGTCTCTAGCTCGGTCCTCAGAACAAACTGGTGTTGCCAGGCCTGCATCTCATATCTTTATGTCAGGGTTGTTTACCTTTCCTCATCTATTTCTCATTTACAGTATGCCAAGTTGGGCTTAAGTTTGGTGGTCCCAGGAGGAGGAATCAAGAAGAAATCACCAGCAACACCACAGGCCAAAAGTGAAGGTGCAGAAGCCACAGCTGCTGGTGATGAAGAAGAGGATGAATATGCGGGAGGACTGTGCTAATTATTAACATGCATACTCTCAGGGTAGGGAGTGGGGGGAAAGTCTGATGTGCTGTTTTGTGGAAGTTGAGTGTACCAAAATTCTTAACCCTTCTCTGTAGTCCTGAATTGGAACACCAATATAGAAGCTCCATATTTTGGGCTACCATACCAAAAAATTGCCTCATTATCCCTTACCTCGTGTGAATCATTAGTTTATTGTAAAACACTTCCTTGGTAAAAGTTTGTCCAGAGTACCAGCTTAAATTTTCTTTTAAGACAGTTGATAAGAAAAATGATAACAGGCTCCTTTGAGAGCTGGCTTCTAGAGTTAAAATTGTGGATTTAGAATGGCAGGTGGAATATTTGAATGTCATTTTTCCTTTTATGATTTTTGTATTTCCTGGTAAATGCTTTTCTCTTTCCTTTATTAACTAGTAATTGGAACTAAAAGTGACTTGTCCTGATAGAAAGTCAGTATCTGATCTGCTTGTTTTTCTTGTGTGATATGTGTTTATGAGGCTGTGTTGTGTGTGTGTGTGTGTGTGTGTGTGTATGTGCATATACGTATGTGTGTTTGCACATATACATATTTTAAAGGAAATCTCATGCTCGTGCCATAGAATACATTAAATGGTTTGGTCCTTTCAGAAAATAAGTTTGGGAGCAGGAGACGATTTTGAACCTTGGAATTGTTTTTAGACTATTGAAATATGTATTTCAGATCTCACAAGTCAATTTGCAAAATTTGAAGATAACTAAGTAAATTATCTGACAAATTTATGAAGCTTTCCCTGGATTTGAACAAGATGAATAGATGCATATTTCAAAGAAAGCATTGACTAAGGTTAATAGGAACCCATGAAAAATCCTTTTGAAATTGTGTTCTCTCAGGAGGGAACTGGGAAAGAAAGAGTCTCCATCCAGCCTCTCTTAAACAAACTACCTCCCTCCCAAAGATGCAGCTGCTGGGCTAGACAGTGCTGGAAGAAGAACTGGCCGCTGATGAGCGTGGTGTCTGTACAGTGGAATTTGAGATGAGGGGGGAAGAAGCATGTTGGAGAAAATGATGGGTGTAAAGCACCATGCTTCAAATATTTAAGTGGCTAGTCATTTCCTAAATGGGGCAGCTATGATGCTTTCCTTTGGGGGTTTACATATATTCCTTATACACTTTTGCTTTCTTGCTTGATGGTCAAAAGTTTTAGAATCACCCTTTTGTGTCACAGTCCTTTCAAGTGATCTACTTTTTGGAAAAGGGCCTTAAGACACAAGTGACATGCATTCTGCAGGCAGATGCTAACCACCTTTGCTCTATTGGTTTCCTATTTATTCCCTAGACATACATATACTTAGATACATATATATAATTATTATTATTATTATAAATAATTTCCTTATTTATGCCTGATCTCTGAAGTAACTGTAATGAGACATTCCAGAAGTCACTTCTGAAAACCAGTCTCATGACTAGTCATGTATGCATTGTAGTTTGTGCATGGTTCTGCTAGACCTCCCTGGGAGCATTATGAGTGGATGAATGAACGTATTCTTAAGACACACACAAGTGATTCTGTAGGAAACCTCAACATCTTTCTAGAGTCCATAATAAATCATGTGTGTGTGTCTGTGTGTCTGTGTCTATGGCTGTTTGTCAGTACAGAAATGCTTATTTTATCTTATTATAAAACACTATTATATTTAACATTGTTTTTATTTTTCAAGCCCATTACATCATTCTGCATATGTTCTCGTATTTTCAACATTACGGCAAGCATCTCAGGACTTAACTTTGGACTGTCATCTGCATTTGGAATTTAGTACTGCAAGACAAAAATGTTCACATCTTAAGGATTTGTTGTCTCAGTGCTGCTAATACCACTTTGTTCTAATCACAAGCTTCTGACAGTGTGGAGTCATATGTAGACCTTTCTCTGGACAAATTATTACCTGCCCCCAACCAAATATGGCTGTACTCAAGGCCATATATCAGTCTATATTGTACCATTCACCTACAACTTTTTTTTTTACAGCATTGAACATTTTAATGTTTCTTTTCCATTTATACAACAAAAAGACAAATGAGTTGGGTATCCAGTAATAGGAACATAATCAAGTCTCAGTTTTCAAAAGAAATATTTTGAGATTAATTTTTTATGTAACTGTTCCTTTTTTCTCTTCTTAGAATTCTCCTCTCTCCTCTACTTTTTTCCCCAATGTTCAGAACTAAAGCACACTACCTTTGTTTAGCTATGCGTGAATATTTCTGTGATAGGGCTATTCTAGTCTAGTAAGTATTGAAAAACATTTGTTTCAAATTGATAATTTTTTTTGCCCTATGATGCAGTTTGCACCTTTAAAATATTTTATCATGGAAATCAGGTTAAAAGTGGAAACAGTGATGTGTTGCAATAGGAAAAATGTTTTCCAGAGTTCTACTTTCATACAAAAGAAAAAGTCTGCATGGATGTGCTTAAAATTCATTATAATTTTCCATTGTAAGTGAAGTCTGTCTCTGCCATACATTTAATATATTAAATTTGTACATATATAGAATATGGTATTCTTATAGTGTGAAACTTGTGCTTCACTTGTATTTTTCCTAACTTTGTGATGTATAAATAGAGTATTAAGTGTGTAGTAATACAAATTATCACTTCTCTGGAAAGAGACTCCGTGTGTGACAATTATGAAAATAAAACTTGAAGCTTTAATTTGGCCATTTATTTTCCTCGTTTGTTTCATTTGATTAATTCAGTTAATTTAATATATTCTATTAATGATAAAATTATTTCTAGCCAACTATTCAAGAACCACCATTTAGTTAACTTTTCCAATTCTGTTGTTTGCTTCTTAGAGGTAAATTCAGCACTTTGAGGAGCTGCTTTCAGATCAGGTTAGCAGATTAGCTTTGGACCTATGAGCCAGACTCCAAAGCTAGGAGCCTAATGTCCTTTTCTGTTTAAAAGAGGGAAAGAGAAGATGGAAAAGTGTATCTCTATAGGACATTGGTTTCCAACTCTAGTTGCAGCCCTAATTAGATTTACTGAACATCTGTATGCTGTATCTTGAAGATTTCTCTGTGAAGACTTATGAGGAAGGTAAGCATATCTGACCAAAGTATTTCTGGGGATAGGGGTAGAGAGTTGTCTTATAAGTAGATTCTTTTATATCTCTATAGTACCTTGTATAGAGTAGGCAAACATTAGGTGCCTGCTCTATGTAAGGTACTATAGAGATACAGAGACAAAGCATTGAGTAGCTTAAAGTCCAGTGCAAGTTGCATTTTCTCTCTGAGTATCAAATTCCTTATCTGTAAAAATAGAGAAAGTAGATGCTTTTCCTTTCTGTCAGGATGATTGGTGCCCCAAAAGTCTTAGTGCAGGTTACATTTGGACTGACACTTTTGGGACATGTTGAGGGATTATTACTAAGAAACAGAAGCAGTTACTATAAATTCTATTTTCCTTTTTTCAAGTGATTTGCTTACTTGTATGTGCATAATTTAATTCTGTTATCTTTTACCTCATATGTTGTAAGATTACCATAATGTACCAAGTAAGACACACATCTCTAAGAAATTCTGTAGATTCAATTTGTGAACTGGGTAGGATGAATAGGAGAATACAAAGAACAAATTTGGTTGCATTGACCAGTATTGATAATGGCTCCTTGTGATTAGCTTTATTTGAGGACAATTAGTATTTTAAAAAAATTTAATTTGTTGAACTGTCCCTTAAGTAAGTTCCACTAGCAAAAAAAAAAAAAAAGGATCAAATTAAGTAAAGGAAAAGCAACAAGCTAAAAAGACAGGATAGAAAAGAATTGATAAGAAAAATTTATCAACAACCAAAAAGAGACTCCACTATATATTAATGCAATGGAATAAAGAAAATGATTTAAAAACTCCAAATGAGAGGAAAATAGTGTAATGACTACTGTAAGAGCCCCAGAAAGCATAATGGATCAACTTCAAGAATATCCAGAATTATTCAGAAGAGCAATAAAAAGATTAAAGGGCAAAATAAGGGTAGAAATTGGAATTCTCATCTTGGTGCATGTCTGAAATCTCTGCTTCTGGGAAGGTTGAGACTGGTAGATCTCTTGAGTTTGGGACTTCTGAGTTGCAATAGGCTAGGCTAACTCAGTGACCTCACTAAGACTACCGTCAATATGATAAGTTGCCTGGAACTTAGGACCAAGATTTCCTAACAAGGGGGTGGCTGGCCCAGATTGGAAATGGAGTGGCTCAAAGCTTAGGTGCTGATCAGTAGTGGGAATAAGCCAGCATAAGACAGTGGTACACAGAAAAGAAAAGAAGAAAAAAAAATGAGGGCTGTCAATGAAGAAATAAAAGATAAATGAGAAAAGATGGAGAAAAAAATAATAGTATATATTGCATTAAGGTTTGCAAAGCTTTATCTTATTGCCCAATGCTCAAAAATTAGCACTATCTCATTTAATCTTCACAACAGCCCTATGATGTAAATGCTATTATTACCTCCATTTTACAGAAGAGGTAACAGATTTGTAAAGATGACTTACCCAGAGTCACATAGCTAGTAAGTGTCTGAGATAGAAATCCAACCCAGGTGTACCTAGAAGTATTAGAAATTGAGAACAAAGTACAGAATGATAGGCTCCATAAAACAGGGGAAAGATCCTAAGTTCAGCTGATTTAATATATAATACACAAACTTTAGAGCTTCAACATTAAACAACAAATCTTGTAAGCAGCTAGAAGGAAGGCCTTTAGCTGCCAAGGGAAAACTGTCCAAATCATGTGAGACTATTCACTCACAAAGAGACCAAAAGGAAATGTTTGCATTCCAGAATAGTGTATCTCCCAAAATTGAATTTAGCCGTCAGTGGAAAAAAAAAAAAAAGAAAGGGCTTTCACCAAAGAGTTGAGTTTGGGTTATTCCTTCTGAAGAAGCCATGGTATGCAAAATCATTAAATAAAAGAAACCTAAATTAGAAAAGATGTAAGCAGTTTTTTTTTTTTTTTTTTTTACATATTCCTAGAGACTAGATATGGCTATTATAGTTGTCTTGCTTGAGGAGCATTGAGAAAACAAAGCAAGTGAATTAATGGACAAACTTCAAAAAGGTGGAATCCAAAAGGAGGAAAGGAGGAAGATTTAATATTTCTTGGTCTAGACCCACATTCTTTAATCATGAGTTAACCCTTCTGTGTATGTGGCTTTGAAAGATAAAAGTCTTTTAAATGAGGTGAAAGGGAAGAGTGGGGAAGATTCCAAGATACCCCCTTTTCTAATCTGGCTGTTAGAAAGGAAGGGAGGCTGTTGTATTTTCAGTCTCTCACCTGAACCTGAATTTCACTGAGAGAACAGGAAGAGAGTATTTGAGGGTGGGTTCCTTGGGGGAAAATAGGAATCTGGTTCCACCAGTGGGAACTATGGACAACAAATTTACTGCACAGACAGCTCAAATCTAACTTCCTCCCTGACAGGATATTTCACTAGCTTGCCATCCCCGTAATGTGAACAAGCATCTTTTCATCTCACTCTTCTCTAGATATTACTCAAGCATTAGTCCTGGATATCTCACTTCTGTCGCTTATCCTCAGTATAACATCATTGGTTGGTTTCAGTGAACTTTTTAAAAAAAAAGATCTGTCACAGAGGATGATTTCCCTACACAGGGGAGCAAAGTGCTTTGTCAATTTGGTCCCTCCTGGTATGCCATTGCTGTGATATTCTGGTAACCACCTTGCTTTACTCTTGTTATGATAGCCATCCAACATTTCTCTCCTCCAAATCTCCCTCTACACTACTTGAGATAAAATGTACTTGTGAATAGCAAGGTTATTTAACCCTAAAGATAAAGGGGAAAACAGCAAAGTTATTACAAATGTCTTCTAAAGACTTTCTGCCTCCTTACCCTGACCTGAGTCAGTCACTAGACAGAGCCCACACCCTCCCGCCTTGTGCATTTAACCCTGCAGTTACCATGACAAGATGTTTAAAACTTGAAGTAGGCATGGTCTTGAAAGTCCAAAATGCTTCTGAATTCTTGACCTAAGGGATACTGTCATTGTTATTTTTATGATTTCTTCCTCCTGGCTTTTTATTTTATTTTTTTAATTCAATTAGGTGGCACAGTGGTGAGAACATAAGTCTTGAAGTTTTTTCCAGAAGTCCTGAATTCAAATTTTGCCTCAGATACTTATTAGCTGTGTGGTCCTAGACAAGTCATTTATTACCTAATCTCCCCTCATTTTCCATATCTGTAAAATGGGGTAATAATAATACCTACCTCATAGAGTTGTTGGGAGGATCAAATGAGTTAACATGTAAAGTGCTTTGCAAAATTTTAAGTTATATAAATGATAATAATAATAATTATTATTGTCATTATGATTTTCAAGGCTTATACATCTTGTGTATAATCAAACCTGAAATCTAGTGCAATCTGAGTCAAGATTTCACTAGTGTGAGAAATGCAACATATAAGTCATTGGGACTAAAGCCGTGGAGGGGAGGGTGTTGTCTTACTGAACCAAAGAGGGAGGAATAAGATATCAAAAAATGTGAAAAATATCCAATGCATGAGAACATACGAAGAGATGTTCCAGGATTTATTTAGACAACTACATAGCTATGTTTACTAACAACATTAAGTCACAAAGTTTCACTGTTTTCAACCCACTTAAACATATAATGTTTTCTTGCCAATCACTCTCAATTTTAGACCATTTCCTTTATAAATGCAGGAGAGGGCCCTCATAGACCTCTATGTAACCACACATTTCTGGTATAAAAACATCTACTAGCAAGCCAACTATTTAAATTTCCATGGCTTTGATTTACCATAGCTCGCTGAGAACTGAGAACTTTAGCTCATAATAAACTTTTTGAAAGCAAATACAGAGATCTGCAATTTGTTCTAATGTTGCCAGTGGAATTTCCTGGCAAACTACCCAGGCTAAAAGGCTAAAAGGGCTTCTGTCTTAGGCTATAAGTTGAGAGAAATGGGTGGCCTCATTTTATTTTGTCATGCCTTAATTTTTCTTTAAAAAAAAAAAAGGGATTGCTAAAAGCTGAGAAAGGGCCTATCTTGGGAACTACCTGCTCTTTTACCTCTTTCTACTTGTCAAGTTTGTTACCACATGCTGGTTCAGCCCTACTCTGGCCCTAAACTGGGAGCTTATAAGGAGCTTCTCTCTTAGAAGCTGCTTCTCCTGTACCTGTTCCCTGATTTCTTGGTGGGCTAGGTTTGATCACCATTGTCCAGTTTCTTGGTGGATGGATCTTTTCCCAACCTAGGACTGTGTAGGTCTACCCATCCATCTCCAGGGTCTTCAACTTCTCTAGTCTGCATTGCCAGATCTTCTGAAAAAAAAAAATAAACTCATTGTCCACTCTGCCGCCTGACTACATGATATTGAATTCAAGAGACATTTATTGAGTACCTAATAGGTACAAGCTACTGCTAGGTATTGGGAATACAAAGACAGCAATGAAATAACCGTTTGGCCTCAAGGACCTTACATTCTATTGGGAGGAACATAACATGTACAAAAGTAAGTGGGCATCATAACTATGTGGCTAGGTTTCTCTCTGTGCTCTCCAACCCCCTTCAGATCTCTGTTCTCTGACTGTGGCCTGCTTATTTGAATTCTACACCTTGCTGTTTCCTCTGTGTGGCTTAACACACCAGACTTTAATGTCAATTTTTACTCTGTATATAA